AAAAAAAAAAAAACGTCTTTTCCTTATCTAAATTACCACAATCTTTTTCTGATCCACAGTGGCACAATCACCCAAAGCATATACTTCTTCACATCCCTTTACCCTCAGCCATTCATCGGTCGCAAGAACACGCCTTTTTTCCTGAAAATTAATAGAATTGCAACAAAAATCGAGTCATTAGAAAGGAGGCGGAAAAGAAAAAAACAACTTAGATAAAATTTACCTGGCCAATTTGGTCCATGAAGTTCTTCACGACTGGCCGAGTGCTAACACCGGTCGACCAAACAATCATCCCGTGTGGTATAGAGATATCTTCTCCGGTTGACTTAGCTCTCATTTTAATCATTCTGTCCGAAACACTCACGACTCGATGTCCCGTTAAAACTTCGATCCCATCTCTCTGAAACTTCTGTTCGGCGAACGAGCTAATCCTTTCATCAAACCTAAATATAATGAAACAAAAAATAACAAGGACAGAGTAATAAATTTCTCTCACATATGTTTTAGGATAACACAAAGAAGAATAGTATTTGATCGTTTTCTCACGTATTCAATATATGATCACCGGATTGTATCACTGTTATGCTCACTAAATCCTTTACCGAAGGATAAATATTGACCAAATCCTCATACACAAAATCGTGAAGCTCGGCAGCAAACTCCACGCCCGTGGGCCCTCCTCCGACTATGACGAAATGGAGATTCGTTTTTTGTTCTTCTTCAGTCAGCTCAGGTAGGACAGCTTTCTCGAAGCAATCTATTACAGTCCTACGAATCCTTTGAGCATCCTCAACTTCCTGCAAAAACAAACATTAATGTTCGTTCATCCTATTTTCTTGATTCAATTAAACAGTTTGAAAAATCTCTTAGCAGTAAAGTTGTTTCTAACTTTTTATTATTACCTTCAGAAAATGACAATTTTCCAAGACACCCGGCGTGTCGAATGTATTCACTTGAGAGCCAATGGCGATGACCAAATAGTCGTATTCTAACGAGAATTCCTTGTTTCCCGCTAAATTTTCGTCGATATTCGACCGGCAAAAGACCCTTTTGCCCATGTGATCGATTTTTAGGCATTCGGCCTCCCAGAACTTAATCTCCCCATTCCTCTGTCAAGATATTAATCAATGCACTAATAAATCTAAGAGATTATATGGAAATATGATGATGCAGGATGATTTTTTTATTTTTCTTCACCTTCTTAATGATATTTCGAACGGGCTCAACAATGCTCCGGGCTTCGACTGTCCCACAAGTGACACTTGGCAGCAATGGGGTGAAAGCAAAGTAATTTCTAGGCGAGACCACCTGAACTTCGTAGTTCGATATATTGAGATCTTTCAAGAAGCTCGTGGCAGCCCATCCGGTTCCGAGCACTACAACTTTTTTCTTGAAATTCGACTCGTTTTGATCGTGCGCGAAAAAAACCGGCATTTTCTTCTTCTGGGCTGGTGAGTCGGCATAAGCAACAAGGGCCCCACCACTGTAAAATGGGGCACTCGAGATATGATGTAAATCTTTCATTATGAATCAACAAAAACACACAAAGAGAGAGAGAGAGAGAGAGAGAGAGAGAGAGAGAGAGAGAGAGAGAGAGAGAGAGAGAGAGAGAGAGAGAGAGAGAGATGCAAAGAAAAGCATTAAAAGTTCATGCTTATGGGATTCAGCAAAAAGGGCCCTTCAAATAAGAATACACCTTATATAGGAAGAGTTGGGAGTATAGATAAAATTCACCTTGAATCTTCCATATGAATGAATCAACAAAACACACTCACACACAGAGAGATTGTTGCAAAGAAAACCAATAAAAGTTCATTCTCATGGGATTCAAGAAAGCAAGAAAAGCGCGGAAAATGATGACGATCAAACCCATCAGAAGCGAAAATAAAAGCGATCGATCGATTTGAGGGACGAGAATAATTTGTTTTGATGGGATCGCAATAAAACAAACCTGACAAAACAGAGGACCAAAGGCATGTTTGAAGCAGGGTGGCCATGAAGGAATCTGTTGAAATAGCAAGTGAATAATCTCATCTTTCTTTGATTCACTGATTCCTCTTTTTTTATAAATTGATGTGAATCTTGATGATTCTGGACAAGGGTCGCCGTGAATTGTTATTCAAGGTTGTTTGATCATCCAAGTTTTGATCTGTTATATTACAGTTAAGAGCTTTGAATGATGTTTGTCAAAGGGACATTTTCAGTTACTACAATCTTGAATTTTTGTATTATTTTTCTCTAAACAAAAAACTTATGTAGGTTGGTGACACTCATGTTTTCTCTAAACAAAAAACTTATTTTTCTCTAAACAAAAATCTTGAATTTTTCTCAAGGCTATATAATTTCCAATGTGACTTACTATTTTAACACATTAGCTTATAACAAGCAAATTTTAATGTTTTATTTCATAATTTAAGCTCCATCAAGTTATTGTCCTTTAGGTGGTCTTAATTCCCTGTTTAATTTTTGTGTTACAATGGTAATTCTTCATAATGGCTATTAAAGGTCCTTTAATTCCTGTCTAATTTTTGTATTACAACTAGTATTTGATCATGTGCATTTGCACAGATATAAAACATGTTTTTGTTTGTACTTATTAATTAGACATTTACTTCTATCATATAAAAATTATTATTATTTTTTCTTAAGTTATTTTATCATTCAAAATTAATTGAGGTTTAAATTTTATTTTAACCATGCAATTAGTAACATGAATAAAATAACTTTTTTATTTGTGGCATATATTAAGAAAATTAACATAAATAAAAAAATTATTGGTGTTTCTGATTTTTAGAAAAAAAAAAATATAGGTCAATCATATTTTTCTTCTAATAATGCAACCAAATATAACGGTTACAACTTTGAATGTGCCAATCAACTTTAAGTTCCAACATTAGCCGTTACACGTTTGAATATTTTGCTACCAAATTTTGAACTAATTTAGTAACTGATTCAAAAAATAAATACTAAAAATATATATATTAAGGTGTAACGTTTTAATAGATTAGTGAGTAATTAATTAAAAAAATGTAACTCCTTTTGGAGAGAAATGAAAATAGGTTTATTAAATGCATCAACTAGTAATTATATATAGATAGATGTACTCTATCTATATCTTTATATATATAATAGCTAGCAAAGCAATAAATAAAACCTCAATAGTTTTTTTTTTCCAAAAACTATAATAAGTTTTTCTATTGTATATATCTATATCTACATAATTCCATGCATTAAAAATGCAGAAGAAAAAAATTTTCCTCCCAATTTTTCAATTATTTTTGATAAAACAATTACATTTTATATTAATTAAGAGTATATTAATTAAGAGTAGTAATAGTTATTAGTAAATCAATTAATTATAAGTCACATAATCATCGAAAGTTATATTGCATTCTTTTCAAGATATATTTATTCTGAAAGTAGTATTAGTTTTTTAATCATATAAAAAACTAAATGCCATGAAAAATTTCCTTAAACAGTTTCTATAATAATAATAATAATAATAATAATAATAATAATAATAATAATAATAATAATAATAATAATTTATTTTTTTTTAATATTTTTTAAGTAAATAGTTGGTTTAGATCTCTCAAAGTACAAAAAAAAAAAAAAATGTGATGTATTACAATTTATGCAGTCAATATAGAAATTCACGTAAAGTCAAATAATTTGTATTTATATATATTTCATTCACTAATAATCAAACTTAATAAAATGTGATATATATATATATATATATATATATAAATTACTTTATAATTTTAAAGTTCTATGTACACATAATATATAATACTATGTAATTTATATTTGTGCATGTGCACCGGACCAACTATTAGTATATATAATTGTATAATTGTATGCAAAGAATTTATGACAATTTTCTCGTTTTACGCCTTTTTTAGGATAATTATGGTAATAAACCGTTACATTTTACATTAATTTATATAATCATTATTTTTTGTATTCGATATATATTATATAATAGTTATTATTAAACAAATAAGTTAGATTAACACTAGTTGTGGAAGTTAAATAAGTATTAAAAATTATATCACATTTATATGTACATATATAGTAAAAAGAAAAAACAAAAAAGCTAATTGATTTTAATAATATAGTTAAACCTCTTATTCGCACAAGCCACTATTGTTATAATAACTATTTTAACATTCTTTTACTAATTAATTGGACATAATATTTCAAAATTATAAAAATAACATTGTTCATTATATTTTATGCAATCATATATTGGTTTCTATTTAGTCACATTAATTATATTGTTTAATTTTATTACTATGTTTGGTTATATCTGTGGTCGGTTGTGGGGTTGTCAGGTTTTTTTGGTGTTTTTGCCGGAGGAAGGGTTTGTTAGTCATAGTTTGTTTAGGTGTTCGTTCGTGTTTCTGTGTTTCTGTATTCTCTAAGAAATCTTCAGACTTGTCCTCTCAATTTTTTCAGCTGTTGGATGATTTATACAGCTCTTTGGTTGTACTTCTATTGTTTCAAAAAAAAAAAAACATATAAAACTAATAACACTCTAAAACACTAATAATACTTAGTATTACAATTATGTAAACAAATCCATTCTACTACGTATGTTGTTCCATTTAGTGTTCAATTTCAAGCTCAACTAAAGTTGAAGCTAACAATTTGGCCACGTATGTTGTTCCATTTAGTGTTCAATTTCAAGCTCAACTAAAGTTGAAGCTAACAAATTGGCCACCTCACGCAAGCCATACACACAATAAACCGGACTATTATAAAAGTTAATTTCAATCCATAATGACACATTTTGTATTATAAAATAGAATTTCATCAACCATTGTAAGACAAGCATTGTGGGTGGTTGATGAAACCAGCATTGCATGCTTGGTGACCTTATGCTCAAAGTCACAGGTTCTTGGTGAGATGGTTGATGAAATTCTATTTTAAAGTAGAAAATATGTCATTATGATTTAAAATTAACTTCTATAATAGTCCCATTTATTGTGGGTGGGTATGGCTGGTGTGAGGTGGCCAATTTGTTAGCTTGAACTTTGATTGAACTTGAAATTTTACACTAAATAGAACAACATACATAGTAGAATTAATTTGTTTACATAATTAAGGTGGTTTTAAAGTGTTATTAGTTATATATTGTTTTTAATTCTAGAGATTAAATGTCACCTTAAATTTCAATTTTAGTTCATTTTAAATTTTAAGAAATCTAACTAAGATCTATTAGAACACCCACAATGCATTGAGTCTACTTTTACATATGTAGCATATAAATAGACTTAAGTCCTAAATGAAATAGACAAACCCAAGTAAAAAAACTCAAAAGCTATTCATGTAAAAATAAAAAACCAGGTCTAACATACATGTCAATCAATAAAAATGCTCTAATATGTTTCACTTATTAAAATAGTATTTAAATGAGAAATAAATGATGAATATTTAGGTTTGTACTTGGTTCCATTAGACTTGGTCTTTTTTTTATTGCCACATAAGCTCAGACTAGATCCACTTTTAATTGCATTGTGAAACATTTTTTTATAGACTAAATCTATTTCTTACATTGCATCGTCTCTATGTTTATAAAATCTCAATTTAAAATATCGGACTTGGTGACATTGACATTGAAATATAGTGCTGAAATTTAACTCCAATCCCGTGGGAATTTTTCAAGAGACGAAGCTGATGACAACACAACAATGTATGAGTTCTTCAGACCCTTAGCCCATTAATCACGTAGTAAAGGACAAGAGTATAGTGAAACTCAATAACAAAATCAAATGATCCTCTCTACAAAGCTCTATAAAGCACCAAAACAAACCCATACATTCTCAAAAATACTAAAAAAGTGCACAAAAAAAAAGTCTTTATAATTTGTATATTTGCCTCAGAAAAAGTGAATTTTGATCATTTGCAACATGGATTCATCAAGCAGGTTCCCCTGCAAAATGCAGGAACTTGACTTCACCACAGCTCATATACTATCCAACATAACCTCACTGGCAATAACAAAACTTAAAATACAAATTAATATTTAAAATTTCACCTTTCAAAATCAAATTAATTTACAATGAATCCATAGAGGTCTAATGATCCAATGTCTCACAAAACTTCAAACACATTCAAAATTAACAATAAAAGCACAGTTGCATAACTTAAAATAAAAAGAGATTTAATTCGAGGCTCAGACATGAGACAGCTTTATCAATCAAGAAGCACTTTCTGAAGCAGAACTGGCATAATTAAGCTGATCTAACAATCCTCTTAGCACATAAAACGTAATTAACTAAAAAAAATCACATCTTTAATCACTTTGATGGCTCATATCAAGAAATTCAACCATTTGTTATGTTTATGCTTCATGGATTGAAGATCTCAGAAGCGCGGATAACAAATTAATCACAGCCATCACAAAAAATATCTCAACTTACAAAAAAAAAAATGAAACTTTTTGTCTTGAATTTGATGGGTTTTAATTTTCAAAATATAGCGGATATTTTTAGAGGTCGAACAATGGGAAAAAAAAAAATGGTGAAAACCCCCACGTGAAAACCGCAATAAATCTCTGCCTCTAGGACTAGCCCTTTATCCATTGATGATTATCAGAACAAGGACTAAAGGTGTAGAGAGGCAAAGTAGACACATATATAAAAACAAAAATCAAAATTAATTAAAAAAAAAAAAATAATGGCCGTCGATCGTACGTCGATTACCGTCGGAAGTGAAAGTGAATCTGATCTTCAGCACAAAACGACGTCTCTTTTCATTTAGCTTGAAATTATTAGAAGAAATCAGAAATTGAGGGTTTGGGATTAGGGTTCGAGATACAATAGGGGCTGCGGAGGCTGATTTCGTATGTACATTCTAAGAGTTCGGGGGTTTATATAGCGAAACCCTAACAACAAGGTCACAGGAGATGAACCGGGTTACACCCGGTCATTCAGGGCCGGATCTATTTTGATCATTGTTTTTAATCCGGACTAGGCCGACCGATCGACCTAGAGCTGGAACTCATTCATATGGGTTTTTTGGACTGGGTGACAACAAACTCCATCATAACCCAACATTGACCCAGTCGACCCCGGACATCGACCCGGTCGGTCAACCCGATTCGACTCGGCCAATATCGATATATATTTTTGTTTTTTTTACTTTTAAAATAAAAAAAGTATGTCTATATATTTATACCGTGAATGTTTATTATGAAATATACAATAACATTAACATTTTGATTTATAAAATTTATATAAAAAAATATATTTTTGTTACTTTTACATATATTTATATGATGAATAATCTTAAAGAAATTTAAAATTAATTATTCGGGTCAGTAATTAACACAGTGACCCGTAGACCATGTCCATTCTCCATCTGAATATGAAATCTATGATTTTGATACGTTCCGTATACCTAAAAAAAATTATATTTGATTCATGAATCAAATATGGGGTAGAATTAAATTAGGAGATGATCGTAGGACAACAAGAATTCAAGCTATTAGTAATAGTGAAATCGAGAATTTGATCTCTATCGATATCACATAAGGCCAATTGAGCCTGTAGGATTCCCATATAAATAACCAAATTTATCCTTTAGGATAACTCACTACAATAGCACAAATTACGTTAAAGAATCTTATATAATTTTGCAGATATGTTGACTCTTTGGTACTTTTTAGATAATCGTATAAATACGTTACATGTAAGGTGTATTGTAATGAACTCTAAAGGATAACAAGCTTTTCACTCCACAAAATACCTTAAGCAGAAGTTACTCTACACACAAGCAATTGGAGTCTATAGTCTACACTTATGTGTGCCACCGGCGGATTTACATAGGGGCCCGTAGGGGCACGGGCCCTGTAGAATATTTAACAAAATAGTATTTATACATATATTATATGTATAAAGATATTATTATATTGACATAAAAAATACATGTTATTAATTATAATGTAAAGTTATTTTGATATAAAAAAAATAAAAAGAAAATGTTTAAAATTATTTAACCAATATATTATTTTTTAAGTTTTGGAATTTATGCTTATGTTATACTCAACTTCTTGTTTATTTTTTTGTTTGAATCCCAAAATACATAAAAAAAAAACAAATATTATACATAAATATATATACTATATAGTGTTTGGATCGAATGTGTTCATATTCTTGAAATTAGAATGTGAGACTCAACTCTAGTTATTAAATAAGAAAAAAAAGGTGTTTGGTTTTAGATTTAATCTTATTACTTATTTTAATTGGTTAAATATTAATTTGACCGTTGACTTTCGACGTTGACCGTTTACCGTAGTTTGTACCCCCGTTATTTTCAAAATCTGCGTCCGCCCCTATGTGTGCCATATACATTTGTATTTATCTTTTGTAAAATATGCTCAATCTCGAGTTTTTAAGAGCTAAAGTCAATAAAATCTTGGTTTTATAAAAAGAAAAAAAATGTGTAATTTGTAAAATAATCAGTTTAGGCAGTGATTAATTGTAACCAGTTGGAACACTTTAATCAAGAGGTAAGTAATCTCAAACTCTAATGACATGATAATGTAATATACGTAAAAGATTAGTATCATAACTAACGTCCAAACTTAAATTAATTGGAAATAAAAAAGTTCTCATCTAAAATTAATAATGGCTGCGTTTGTTTGATGGTTTTTTTGGTTTAAAAAGAGTTTTTTTTATCTATTAGTTGTTTGACTTTTTACAATGTTAAAAAAAAAATGTTTGGTAAACACTTTTTGCAATTAGCTTTTTTTGCTCATTCCGCTAATGTGGAAAACGCTGCTTTTGTTAGCGTTTGATGTTGGCGGTTCGAGAGAACAAAAATAAAAAGTCATACTTGCCCACATTTATACCACACGATATCTTCAATCCCACAATAAATAAAATAAAATAAAATCTTATTAAAAAAATGTTTCTTAACTGAGTAAATAAGTTCACCTCATATAAACAAACTTAATAACAAGTCATCACTATTTAAAATAAATAAATAAATAAATAAATAAATAACTAAGTAACTAAAATTTACATTAATAATTTCTAAAAAGTTCCCATTTACATCTCAGTAGCTAAAACTATATATGTTTAAAATTTTATAAAATAGTTGGTAAAATTAGTTGTTAAGTAGTAAGTATTATACTAAAATTAGTTGGAGTGACATTTATAAATATAATTCTTATGTTTGTTAGTTATAATTTTGAAAAAATAAATATATTTTAAATCACTTTAATACATATTTAAATATTAATTATTTTTATTTCCTAAATAATTATAAGTTCAACACAAATAAGAATGATAAATTATGTTGATGTCTGTATAAGTAATTTTACATTGTAACAACTAATTAGAAATAGCTAATTTTACCAAACAATTTTTTACCAACAGCTAACGCAATCCGCTGGTCAAAACAGCTAACGCAATCCGCTGGTCAAAACAGCTAATGCAATCCACTGGTCAAAACAGCTAATGCAATCAGCTAACAGCTATCAGCTAACCGCTAATTACCAAACAAAGCCAATTTGTCTTTAGTCTTTGAAGTGTTGGATGGGTAGCAAAGAATTAATTAGGAGCTTGATGAACTTTTACTTGAGAGATGTAATGATAAAAAGATTAAGCTAAGAAAGCTTCATTTAAATATTTAAACTTAATTATGTGTGAAATGATCAAATAATGTTGATAAGTGCAAAGTCAAGTGAAGAACGACTTTCCTTAAAGGACGACTAATTATTTGCCCCTTAACTCCATATTAGATTAAATCCCACTTAATATGCCGGCCAAGCTAAACAAACCCAATCCTCAATTAACACTCATCTTTTTTCTTTTTCTTTTTTTTTTAAATAAATAAAAAAAAAACACTATCCCAGTCAAAAATTTTGATCCCCTGCCCATGCCCACGGTGGGCAGTGCCCACCACTTTGTTTTATATGAAAAACGTATTCTGAGAATACGTTTTTCAATTAAATTAATTGAAAAACGTATTCTCAGAATACGTTTTTCATATAAAACAAAGTGATGGGCAATACCCACCGTGGACATGTGAGCGGGGCTATCCCAGTCAATTAACTTTAATGCAAAAGTTTGTACAAAAAAAAAAAAAAAAAATCTTTAATGCAAAAGAACTTAAACAAATTATTCATGTATATGTTTTCGGTTTTGTGTAAGTGACACTAGGTCTATACACCTTTTGTTTTCTCAAATATATATATTTTAAAATATCATAATTTCATAAAATTAAAAAATGTAATACTCGATAGTATAAATATCTATTTTTCTTTCAAAGACTATGACGAGTGTTAGGCTGATTCGCACAAAAATTTATGATATTTATATAAGTATGAATTATGCGGATTAATTCTGATATATTTTTTCAATTAAAATATTTAATTATATTATTGAATATTATATTTTTATTTATGTAGTTTTATAAATATATAATATTTTAAAATGCATGTTTATTAAAAAAAATATGATTTATGTAACCATAAACCATTAATCAATTGATTTATATTTGAAGTGAAAAAGAAAAATTCATTGGTTAGAGTCCACTAACTCTAAAAAACCAGCCCAACCGACCAATATGTAAACACCCAAATTAACCCCCACAAAGCCTCGAGTCACGAATGCCCATTTCTCAATTCTCATGCCTTTTCGTCTTAAGGGCATTTCCGTCACTTAAATTCCAAAACCGTAACCTGCAAACTCGCCGGCTCTGTTTTTATCTTTTGCCGCCACTTTTGCAGTGAAGACTCTGTTTTCATTTCTCTTTCAAAAAAAAAAAAAAACTCAAATACCAGCGCACCTACACCTTCACTGCGTGTCATCTGCGTTTTCTGATGTCGAGCCACGGCGGAGCTCCTGCAACCTCTGATCGTCCATCATCTCCTCAGCCGAAGAAACCTAAATCCCGAGAAGTTAGCTCGAGGTTCCTCTCGCAGGCGGCCCCGAGCGCCGCCGCCGCCAATTCGTCGTACTCATCGTCCGACGTCGGAAATCAATCCCCAAACAGCACACTAATTTTCTCCCCACGGCAAAAGCACAAGCAACCGCCGGCTAATTACTCGAGAAAGCACAAAAGCTACGAGAATTCGGGGTTTTTCCGCGGGCTCTGGCCCTCATCTTCCCCAAATCCGTCGACAATTGCTGCAAAATCCGGAGATAGGTCGCTCACCAGGCAAAAGAGCTGCACGGAGTTCAGCAGGTTCGACGATCGGAAAATTCAGATCTCCAATTTACCCGCAAAAGGTAATCAGAAGCCCTGTTTAGGAGGATCCATGAGATACACAGAGAAGCCGATCAAATTCGATGAAAAATCAGACGAAAATGTCCTAATTGCTCCCGGGAGACTCCTAATCGACACGGAACTTTTATTGGGCTCGGATGAGCTTAGAAATTCCGGCAGGATGAGCTGTGAAACTCCGGCGGGCGGGAAATATTCCGCGGCGTCTTACATGTCCCCAACTCTGAGCTCGAGAAAACACGGAGTTGAGCCGTCGAGGTCAAGGAGATGGAGTGCTGATTCTGGGCCCAATCAGAAGCCCGTTGTTTCATCTTCAGAATGTAATAATAATCATAATAGTTATTTTAGTAGTTCTTCGAAGGTTTTGAATTTCAAGAATGCTACGAAGAAGACAGATGGGAATCGGGCCCAGTCAGGCTCCGGAAAATCGAAGTCCAGTGAAGAGAAGGGGAAGATGAAGAGTATTCTGAGCCTGGGAATTGGATTGTTGAAAGGGAAGAAGCCCGTTTCGAGTCTGTCGCCTTTCGGGCCGGGCTCGTCTTATGATGTTCATCAGTTGAAGTTGCTGCATAATAGGTTGATGCAATTGAGGTTCATTAATGCCCGAGCTAAGACTGTCAACGGGAATGTGTTTAAGCAGGTTGAGGTATGTATCTAGTGTTAATTAAATAGTGTTTAATGACTAAATGTGGTCATGTGCATAAAAATATGAATCTTGAATATGGCTTCTTATGAAATGAAATCGTTAGGTTTATGGACTCGTCATAGTTTTACGACAAAAATGAAATGTTTATGATTTGGTATATCATACTTTAGGAAGATGTTATGGTCCTGTTACGGAATCATACCGTCGGGGTTTGTAACCGTTAGATCAACTATCTCTGACGGTTACAGATCTATATTGCAGTGCAATTTCTTGTTTGCATGGCATGGCATGATAAAGCTACAACATGCTGTGGTGCAAAACAAATTGCAATTACAAAGGGAGAAGCTGGAAATGAAATTGAGTTACATAATTCACTCTCAAGTAAGTAAATGTGGCTAAATCACCTCATGTTATTTATGTATTTACTTTTTTTTTTTTGGATAAATTTTACGAAATATTTGCTGCACTTTTGTTGGCTTTACAGATTAAAGCTCTGGAAAATTGGGAAAATATGGAGACACAACACTTATCAACAGTTTGTACAATCGTTGATTATTTGCACTCTGTTATTTGCAGAGTTCCACTTGTTGATGGAGTGAAGGTAAAACAAACACACATGTCATTGTAAATTATTTGGACCATTTGATAAAAACTTACATTAAACAGCAGATGACATTACAGCAGGTTGAACCTCAACTCGCGTCGATTTCTATTCGGCATGCTTCGGATCTTGCTGCATCTATCGAACTAATGCTCACTAATTTTTCGCCTACGGTAAATTTTCATAAAACTTGACGTTGTTACATATGACTTTTTTCTTACCGTTATATACGTTTACTATCATTCAATTATTTCACTTCTCTCTCGTTTTTTTTATTTGGCTTACAAGATCGAGAAAACAGTTGGATTAGCGGACGAGTTAGCAATAGTGGTCACACAAGAGAAACTGCTATTACAAGAATGCTTTGAACTCTTCAGAAGCATTTCCATATTGGAGGTATAACTCCTCTTTGGTTGATCAATTTTGATTCTCAAGTGAATATTATGGATTAATTATGCACCAATCAGTTGTCTTATATCCTGTTCAATTTCTGTTACAACTTTTGAATTATGGTTTTTGTATGAACAGATGCAAGAGAGGAGCTTGAAGAGCAGCATAATTCAATTCAATATACTGCAACAACACAACAAAATCACTTGCACCGGCCCATGTTAGTCCGAGTCCAAGAAAATATTATGAAACTATTTCTACTAAAGAAGCACTCGAAGGAGAAAAAGGTTCGGCCAAGAACATGTACTCCCTCTGCGGTAAACTGAACCAAACAACGGTTTTTACTATGTATATATCGTGTGCCCTTAACACATTAAAATTCCTCGAAACTTTGCGTTCCCTAATTGTAACACGAAATCATTCAGAGAAGTTTTGAAAATTAGTCATATACTACACGAGACAATAAAAAAAACATAGGTAATACTATTTGCATACATTCTCATAAGCTATATATATATGATATATCTCCTAAACTTCTTAACTCGATCGACAAACGAGAAGTAAAGTATATTCGCACGAACGAACCAAANNNNAAAAAAAAAAAACATAAAAAACACACGAAATCAAAGACTCGCTAGCAAAAGCTGCGACCATACAGGAAACGTGAGCAGTGCCACGAGCACGATCACTAACAAAACCGCAACACAATACCACTTTCGAGACCCCTTTTGATACTCCCTCGCCTCTTGCAACTGCTCGGTTCCCCTCCTCACGAACGAGCTCGCATGCGCCACGTGGCTCTCGATATCGTTCAACTGTTGCCCTTGCGCCTCGACTAATGCCGCCATGTCGAGAAATATCTGGTGCAGCTCGACGAGGTTGCGCTCGATTTCTTTCACCGCGTCGTGCCTTTCTTGAATCTCGGTTATCGTGTCCAAAATCCGACCTTTCCCTTGCTCCTCGACCGCTTTTTGCAAGAAGCTCTCGCTTTCCCCGCTCGATATCATGCTCTCGACTAGCTCGTCGTCCGGTTTCTCGCCGGTGACAGTAAAGTAGCGCCGCTCGACAGTTTCTTTATACTCGGCGTTCATTCGAGCCCGAAGGCCTTGGAAATCGTCCATCGTGTCCTTGAGTTTTTTGCCGAGGCCCGAAACTACGGAGGTTCGGGTCCGGTCGGCGGAGGAGCCCGGCCCACATCCGGGGACTCGGCGGTGGGCCGCGTTTGACCGATCAAGGGCCTCGAGCTTGGATTTGATGGTTTTTACGCGCTTGAGGACCTGCGCCACGTCGGCATCCATGCGGGACCGGAGGTCCTTCACGGTGGCGGCGCTGTGGACGGTTTTGGACTCCTCGTTGAGCTCCTGGAGGCGGCAGTAGAGGCGGTCCACGTCGGACATGTCGCGTTTGACCGATTCCACGTCATCGAAGAATTTGTCGAGGTTGACGCCTTCTGTTCGGGCGGTGCCGCCGGAGCCCGTTTCGAGGTCGCCGCCGTATCGCTTGAAGGAGCTCGAGAAGAGGTCGTTCATTTTTTTATTTTTATTTTTTGGGTGTTTGTGTTTGATTTTCCGGCGAGGGGCGGCGGTGCTGATCAACAGCTTTTCTTGCTCTCTGTGGGGAGGGAGAAGAAAAGGAGAGAAAAGCAGAGGCCTCGTGAAGAAATATTGATGTTGTTATTAGGAGGTAAATTTTAGTGTAGGGGCACTAATAATGGTGAGCCCGAAAGACAAGGGCGTGTCTATTATCCAGGAGAAATTTGTGGGTGCCTTCTTTTTGTTGATGATTTGTGATATTTTGATTAAAAAAAAGAGATTTTTTTTACCGTGATTTTTCATGGTGAGGTAAATACAACTATTTTTTTTTTTTTTTTTTGACTAACAATAGCAACTAGTGATGTATCAAATCAAGGAGGTGAGTTACGTATTTTGATCGTCTGTTGTTGGATTATGCTCTGACATTGTTAATTTTCACTTGTTTAATACGGGAATGAAAATTTGTCCAATATTAGAACTATTAAACAAAATGAAGTTGTTCGGCCCGACTCTTACGGCTAGAGTTTGACTCGGTTTGTTTACCGAACTCGAACTTGTTGAAAGCTTGTTTTAGTTAACCAGTCAATTTGACTCGTTAAAACTCAAAAACAGCAATTTTATATAGCTTTTGTATAATTCAACACGTTAAAATTGAGTTCGAATAATTAATACTGATAAACAATCTGAAATCGAGATTAGTGGTTAACAATTTGCCCCAACATCACTAGGAATTTGGATAGAGTAGTGTGTCACCGATACGACGTCGTATGGTTGGGCCTTTTTAACATTTCCTCTCCAGGTCCAAGTCTCCATACTCAATTATCAGATTCTCACTCGTTGTTTGTAACCTTCAAAATCTTTAGAACACAACGCCGGAGACGACGAGCAATGGCCACTTCACTGACCGCCATGGCGGCTCGCAGGGCAGCAAATCTCGCTCGGCTCACGCCCTCCAGCTCATCTGCATCTCGAGCGTCTTCTCTCATTCCTCGCCGCGGCCTCGCCGGCGCCGCCGGTATGTTTCGAATCCAACATTTATCGATGATTGGTTTATAATTGGATCTTCATTTAAGTGGTTATAACACTTTTCGTCGATTTATAATGGTTTTCATCTGTTCTTCTGTTTTCATCTAGATCTCCATGGGCCACCAAAGGTTAATATCTGGCAAGATCCATTGAGTCCATCGAAGTGGAAGGGAGAGCATGTGAGTGCCTGTTTATACATATATTCGTATTTCAGTTGTTTTATGCCGAGGATGTTGTGGGTTTCCTTTCATTAGCCGTTTGTTACAATTTTCTTAAGGCTAGGGCTTGCAAAGTTGCAATTTATTTCCATTGTTAATTTTAATCCGAAGATTGTGTTTGATGTTCTTTTGCCCAACTGAACACATATTTGAAGATTTAGAGTGATAATTTTGGATCATTTTGACTGAAATGCTGATGTATTTCTTGAGGAATCGCAGAAGAATTGGCTTGCTTGAAATCTAAATCAACATTGTGAATTAGATAGAAGAGGTACTCTGATTCAGTTTTGGACCTTCAAAGGTTGGTGCGTCACATTGAGCTTGATATTTATATTTACAAGGCGTACTAGATATATTTTGGTGTAGGTACTCTGGTTCGGTTTTAATCTTCAAGTTATCGGTATTGGAAAATATGTAAATAGTGGAATATGATACAGAGCAACATCTATATAAGGGAATAAATGGAATGTGCGTGGGGAATGAAAACTTTGATTACACTAGAATGAATGATGAACCTTAGTTATAGTTATTTTAAATCTGAATATTTCTAATAGACTGAAATGTAAAAATTGAAAGTAAATGTGTTAAGTTCTCCAGGCTAAGCTGCTCGAATGCTCTATTAACAGAGTAGCTGCAAGAGCATGCTGCCCATATATCAATTTGCTCAGCTAATTTTTTCAAATTATGTCACTTTGCAAGCTGAAAACAGTTTTGAGTATTGTATGACTTGGAATGTCATTAAGGGCTGCTTGGGCTATTTTTATAAGTTGTTCAGTTTTCCCCATTTTAACTGTTCTATTGGTGGGTATGTCAATCGTTGGGTTATAGATATTCCAGTGTCATTTTGTAATATATGCAAGCGAAAACTGAATGCCAAAATATGCCCTAACTCAGCAAATTATCCTCGCTTCTCTGATATTCTTCTTGCAAGATTATATAGTTTCTTATGAAAATGATAAGTAGGACTAATGAATAGATCATATAATATGTTGCAACAAGGAAAGAAAAAAGAGTGCAGAGGTTGTATTAGGTTTCGGCTTGTCTTGTACGTCTTAAATGAAAGGGGAATTTGATACTTACAGCATCTCCCAAAGTTTCACATTTAGTTTCTTCGGCCTTTCATTGACTGAAGCGTAGGTACACTTTCTTGTTGGACTCAATATACTTCTAGTTTTCGATTTGTTTCTATTTTCATGATGATGAAGCGTTTTAATCGACCGCTAAAAAGTGTTGCAACTTAAATATTTTCTGTTTCGTCGGTTTATATTTGTTAATATTTGTACATTTTCTCTTTTATAGTTTGTGCTCGTCTCTCTATCTGGATGGGGTCTGGTGATCTTTGGAAGCTACAAGTTCTTCACAGGAGGCAAAAAGGAGAAGGGAGAGGTACTTTCATTCATTGATGTCTACACACACACACACACACACACTGGGCTGTTAATGAACCAAATGTTCGCGAACAAAAGCTCGTTCCTGTTCGGCGAGGGCTAGTTCGTTCTTTAATCGAGCCGAGTTCGAATAGAAAATTTAGCTTGTTTAATAATCGAACGAACACGAGCTCGTACGCGAACGTTAATTGAATATTATTTTATCTTATTTTATTTTTGTATATTTACATAATAATTTTTTAAAAATAAATCTAAAATATAAAAGTATTTTTATTTCTTTCTTTTATTTTCGAGTTCGAACGAACATATTTCTAGTTAATCAAACATCTTTAAAAAGTTTACGTCCTAAATTATTCAAACACGAACGAACTTGAATTGTGACGAACAATTAAACGAAGGAGCTCGATATGATTTTTTGCTCGAAAAATAAACGAACGAATTCGAACACGTAAACAAACACGAGCTCGAAATGCCCTAGCTCGGCTCGTTCAGTTCGATTACAACACTGACACACATTGTTATCTTTCATCTCTCAATGGAATATGAAATGGGTCCCGGCAAAAAAAAAATGTAATCTGCAATCGGTTGAATATCCACAATTGCTGTGGCATATAATCGTTGAAATAAACTCTTGCAGTCTCATATTAGTCTACTACTGATACGTTTGTGATCTTAACTTCTGCAGAAATTAGTGGAAGCAGCTCAATAAGGACTCAAGGGCCCATGCAGTGGTCTTTGTCGAATAATTTGCGCTTCAACTCGCAACTCATCATATTTTGTGAAGGAATTTTATTTCAAGTTTCACCTGATTTCAGTTTACAATTCTTCGTCTGTTTTTTATGATTGTTGAGGTGGAGAAAACCTACATAATTTTCTTCTCGTTCTTGGATGTTCTCTTGTTTGTTTAATGCAGTCACTGGTTTGTATTACCTATTTTTTCTTAATAATGATTGGAAAAAACAAGTGATTTTTGGAATCATCTTATAAGTTATAACTGCATAGCTTATATCAAAGTTAATACGCGGTTAATGTACTATTTGTTCACTATCAATCAACCAAAAGATCATTATATAGTTTCACACAAGCATTCATATTTTATTCGAAGCTTGTTACTTTAAATTTTCACCTGAATTTTAATGTGTGGTTTCTCAAATTAATTCGTGATGTAATAGCCTTAATTTTGACTACATAACCCAAAACCAAAGTGAAATCAAAGTTTGATTTCAACCAAAAAAAAAAAAAACAATATCAGAGTTTTTATTTTACAATGCATGTGTAGGTGAATAAACTAATGCAGTTGAAGGGTTTATTATTAGAAAAAGATGGATATAAAAATGTTTTAAAGTTAAAATTAGGATTGTGCAAAAAATTCGAACTGAATCGCTGAATCGTAGATCCGAATCGAAATCTAACCAAATTTTCGGTTAACCGGGGTACTCGGTTCGGTTACAAATACCTCAAAGGAAGTATTTGCTCCGTTCGGTTCAGTTACGGTTTTTAGGATTTTTATACCCCGGTTAACCGAACCGAACCGAACCATATATTATATTAAAATTTGTAAAATATATATTATATTATATATTATATAATATTTATATATATATTAAACTAACTTGTTGGTATGGCTATTCGCGAAATAACCGAACCGAATGGAACCTTTGCTCGGTTCGGTTCGGTTAATTCGCGAATAGTAAAATTTTTTTCGGTTAACCGAGATTTTCGGTTTGGTTTCGGTTAGCAAGTTCGAATATTTGCGCGGTTCGGTTCAGTTAGCAAATATCTCAAAAAACTCGAGTATCCGAACCGTGCCCAGTCCTAGTTAAAATACAAATTAAAAAATAGAGTTACAACTATCCAATAAAATAAATACTTTATAGGGATTATAGTACCGTCGGACTGGACAAGCATAGACCCATAAGACCGAGTAGAAAGTACTGGAGCATCGACCGAGGGTAGAGGGTCGAACCATGCAAGGGTATCGACCCGTCGACCCAACGGTCGACTTGCATAACCGTAGCAAGGAGGGTCGACCCACAAGACGCCGACCCACTAGCAATTGACCCATAAAGTTCATATGACGAGGGTTAAGCATTGGTCGTAGTCTAACCCTTAAAGCCAACACCGCAAGTCGACCCACAGATTGTCAACACACAGGTAAAGGGTCGACATCAACCCTGGTTCGACCCTTAGTAATGAGATTGGGTATATAGAACCGTAAAACACTATATAAAGGGTTAATTCACCATTGGAAAGGTAAGACTTCATTTAATACACTACTGTTACATTCATTACAAACAATTCTCTCTAATCCCACTAACTTGGACGTCGGAGTGTTTTGCACCAGTGTAATTCTGACGCTCTTTCAGGTACCGGCAAACATTCGCTCTTGAATCAAACCGAGTTAAGCACGTTTACATCATAATCAGGAAGGAACCTCTGAAAGACCGAAATTGCTCATGTGGGACCATATCAATACTAATTAATTCAGATTACTTCATACTTCTTCAACTTTCTAAAGTTCAAAAACTTTAGATGTATCCAATGGCGACCTAAAACACGAGTTAGGCCTTTAAGCATTTGTCCAATAAAATCGAGTTCAATTCGTTAAATAAACAAGCTAGCCAATAAAATTGGAGCTCTTCGTTAAATATTAATAAGCCAGGCTTGAACTAAAATCAAACTTTAACGAACAAATATATTGAAAATTACATAAAAATCAGATTATCGAGTCTAACGTCGAGTTTATGAGGTGTGTAAGGTCCCAAATTTGTCCATTTATCTGTTCATCCCTCAGCAATTGATTAGCAATGGAAAAATGATGAAGCAGATGCTAGGCTGCTGCAAGGTCTACATCTCCGAAAGCCGGAACAAAACCGCGCTGGACTCAATCGAGCGGGCCGCCAAGCTTTTCCCCGACGCCCCAATCGTCAACAGGTTCGATGACGCCATCTACAACCGGGTCGGGTACACGCTGGTCTCGGATCCAGCTCCGCTGAAGGGCGCGGCTTTCGAGATGGTGCGAGCCGCTTTCGAAGCCATCGACCTCGAAAGGCACTGCGGGTCCCACCCGCGGCTCGGCGTCGTAGACCATGTGTGCTTCTTCCCGTTAGGCGGGGGCTCGTTGG